GTCACCATCGTTCTGTCACAATCATACTGTCACTATCGTCCTGTCACCATCGTATTGCCATTACCGTACTCTTAGAATCGTACTGTCCTATTGTCACTATCATGCCATCATATTGTAACAATCGTACTGTCAACATCATAAGGTCTCCATCGTACTGTCACAATCATACTGCCACGATCGTACTGTCACCATAATACTGTCATCATCGTACTATCACAATCATACTGTTATTTTGTCATTATTGTACTGTTGTATTGTCAATATCGTACTGTCACCTTTCCTTTTAGCATGCCAAAACAAAATATTAACACGGAGGAAAACGTTGACTTTGTCATAAGAACATAATAGATTTAAAGGCATGTTTCTTCATCTGACGCCTTGCTGAGTGACGGTTGCGTATTCTTGACAAGAAGAAGGCAGTAAGTAAAATAGTGAAGTGCGGCAGTACGATAGTGACAATACGACAGTACGATGGTGAAGCACGACAGTAACATTGTGAAAGACCATTGTACTGTCTTAATGTCGCGTTTTGCAGCCGTACCGTCACTGTTGTTCTTTGCACTTATCGTTCTCAGAGAAAACGCGCTTGCTCTAACGAAACATTGTAGACAAAAGGCTCTCTGACATTTAAACTTCGCTACAACGCCTTGTTTAGGTGGACATATGAATCATAATGAAGTTAGAAGAAATCCTCCAGCTGGGGTATAGGATTGATTCACAGTGATAACAGTATAGCCCGAAAACTTACCATTAATGACCCGAAATGACCGGCTACTCATCCCCATTGATTTCTGATTGAGCAGTGAAAGAGAAAAACAAATGAGCATTAAACTTTCAGTCCGAAACTAATAGTCATTGAGAAATTACGCCTATGATTGAAGCAGCTACCCCTGGATTTCAAATGCAATGCTTTTTCTATTGATGTAAGCGGGCAGACCTGCCACATTTTGAGGTTGGTGGTGGTGTATAATAATAAGTGGACCTATATTAAATCTTGAATTTAATTTGATGAAATTTAGTTAAAATTTAACCATATTTTTATTACCATAATATACTCACTAATAAAGATAATTATGCCTATTCTTGAAACTAATTTTATCATGGTCATTGCAAGAATTAGTGTATTTCATATAAAGATTAAAATTAAAACAGCTGTTTAAAGGAACGTAAAACTTTTTAAATCAGCAATTACTTTTTTTGTTGTTAATTTTTCTTATTCAAGTTTATTAACAAACCCTTTAAACAAGTAAAAAATGAAAAACTTAGTAATGTATTCATATGCACCATTATTCTTTAAATCAAGATTCAATTGGACATTTATCAAGTTATTTGTTTAAATGGACTTGCCTTGTTTTGAATATAGAACTGTCCTCTGGTAATTTAAGTGATATGAACAAATAGATTGTGGACAGGTTAAAGTATGACAGACTTGGTCTGATACTGATGGAGCATCAATTTTTATGTTTTCTCTGCTAAAGTATGTATTATATAAAGCAAAGGAGCATTTTATGTTTTCTCTGCTAAAGTATGTATTATATAAAGCAAAGGAGCAGGTTGATATATTGTATAAAACTGCACATGTTATAAGATTTATAGCTAGGTAATATTTTACTCTTTCACATGTCTCAAACATAAAATGTAAATTAACATTTGTTATTTCAAGCCACACATTTACAGAATATTGTTATGAATTTACCTAAAATAATTATTTATATCTTTAAATTGCGAATATGTATTGTTAAATAAACATTATTTTGTTGGGTGGTTCCAATATTCCTACTTGAATAATGTTGATTCACCCTTAGGAAATGTTGCCTGCTTTTTCATGGAATGGCACGGAAGTGTCACATTGAAGGTTCCATGATAACCGCCGTATGAACACATCTGCGGATGTTTCTAAATTCAAAACGTTACCATTTCATGTTTAAATGTTGAATTCTGCTTAAGCAGGTGCTAGGGGGCGTGGACGGTAGTTTGCACTTTACAGTACCGTCCATGAACAGGCTCAATCAAACCGAGCCTGCAATGTTTTCAATTTTGCCGTGTTAGGCATTCTTTAGGGATTCTTATTTTCTCTATTTTGACAATGAACAAAACTGAAGCCTTCAGTGGGTTTTGAGAAATCATGCCATCAGTCAAATTGGTATAAACAAAATCAACACACCCTTTCCAAGTGGCCTTCATGTCACAATATGGATCACAAGTGAAATATCTCGAAAATCATGGAAAAAGGTTATTATATAAAATATATATCTAATTATCAGAAGATATTTCTCATGTGCGTATTCACAATAAATCTGGCGACTGTTTGAAGTTTGCTGTAAACAAGAAATGTCTTGTATATCATTTTCTTTTTTCAAACATCAAACTATAACATTAAAATCATGCCTGCCATTTGTTCACCTATTTTAATCAACGGCATATCAATATGTTCATTACTAAAATGCCGTAATTAATGTTGACTGTTTTATATCATGCAAAACCAGAAAATTCCATCATTCAGGCCTCTCAGTCTCATATTTTTCTTAAATAAAATTAGATGTCCTGTTTAATCATCATATTTAAACAAAAACCTTTTTGTTCAAACTGATTTTTTTAAAGCGACACATTTTGGTGGCTTCGTTTATCTTACATTTAGTGTTGTTATAATTCTACTTGCATGGTTCTTTGGTTTTATTGACACTTTAAATGTTGAAAAGTGAATGCCTGTTAGGCTATCAGAAATAAAATTATGTTTTCATACAAAAGAAAGTTGATAATTTTCAAAAGTAGACACTATATTTGTATTCATTATTGCACTGACTTGTAACATTATTAAAGTAAATACAACACCCTATGCCTTAGAATATTATAAAAGCAAAAAAATGGTCATTACCAATTTACATACTTGTGCAGTTTTGTCTTTTTCTGTGAAACAACAAATGCCATTCAAGCCGATTTGAAATATTTCATTTACCATTAACTTGAAGAAATTATGTTTCACTTAAAATATAATCATGTACGAAGTTTATACAAGGAAAAACTTGCAATAATTTAGATTGTCACTTTGAAACACAAACAATCATGCTAATATTCGTATTGAGCAAAAAATATTAATTAAGGTCCAAATTTATGCAACAAAATATACCTAAGTATTTAAAAATGGTTTATGATATTAATTTGCTGAAAATAACTAATTTATTTCTTTAGACGTTAACTAAATAGAATTTATTATAATAAGTATATTTCAATATTTGCAGTAGATACACACGTGCAGTTTTTTTATTAAACCCCACCCACCGTCTCTAAAGAAATTTGAAAAAAAGTACTTGAAAACAATTTGAATACATGAAAAAAAAAGAGAATAATTGCATTAAATGACATATAAAGTATTATACAAAGGAGGCAAAAAAATTAACAGATTTTGGCGAATTTTGTATTTTTCCAATTTTTGGGTGAAATTACCCCACCCACTTTAACCAACTATAAAATTTACAAATTATGCAATTTGTTGCATTTTTTTGTAATAACAATTTAATACACACATAGTATTTATGAAAAACAAATGAATGTTAGAAATTTAAAGGCTACATTGAATATTTTTCTTATTTTTAGGTAACCATATTACAAAAATCTGCCAAAAATAGGCATTTTTCTTTGATATTTTGAAAATTTTAAGACAAAAACCTAAAAAGCTATATATTTCATGTCATTTAATCATAACTTGATAACTTCTGAAATGTTTGCACTTCTTTTTATTGAAAATAGCATAATTTTTGCTGTAAAACTTACCATAATAAGATATATACTCGTTTTGCATAAAATCGGCGGCCATATTGGACGCCATCTTGGATTCTGAGGCGTTGTGAAAGCAAAATTTTGTAAGATTTAGATTTTTATTAAGGAGAGACTTTATACTTACTCTGGTGTAAGTTTCAGATTTGGACAAAAATTTTGATTAAATGGCCCTTGGCTCTTAGGCTAATTGTTTACAACTAAGAAACTCGTGCTTCATTAAACCACGGAAATCCGTGATTAAACTGTTATTAAATGGTTTCAATAATTGCCATTAACACAATGGTTAACAATGAGACTATGAGGTTATTAAACAATGTTGAGTACAATAATGAATTCTATTGGACGAGCACACTGCTATATCAAATCTATATTGGGTGACGCGCTAGGTTTTGCAGCTGTGTACGTGTCCAATATAATCAGTATTGTTCTCAATAATGTCTTTCGACCTCATTAATTATTTCACACCTTTTTACATTTGGACAAAACTTTGTTACTTCGTTACAAATACAAAAAGGAATTGATATATTTTTTTTGTCTTGAAAATGGAAATGATGCTAGATGGAGTGCGATATGCATTTGATATAGATATTTTGGACTGTAAAACTAAAAACGAGGATATATGGGGTGTGATTTGCATGATATGGATGTTTTGTACTCTTGAAATGGAAACGAGGCTACATAGATGTATATGAGATGCGTAATGTATTTGATATAGATGTTTTGTACGAAACCGAAGCTAAATTGATAAGATCTGATCCGATAACGATTTCTATTGCAACATCACGTGTTTTACGGGGGCCTTGACATCTTGGTGACCTTAACGTTTGGCCCGTTACTTTTGTTTATTTATGTCACACCAGCATTTTAAAGATCATATAACTTTAGTAACAGAAAACGGCGTATCACATGCCACTCCGTTCATTATTTTAGGCAAACATGTTGTCCGAATTCAACCACTAGCAGTTGGTAATCTAGCTATGTCATTTCCTTATATGAACTATTAAATTCAAACTTTCTTGCAACATTCGAACCTGCGACGGTGAGAGGAAAGTGGCTCGAAGTCAGTGACTCTAACCACTGAGCAATTTTTCTATAAATTACGGATTTGTTCAGTAACATATATATTCAAATAAAATATTAAAGAAAGCAAAATTAAGAGATTTGAAAAACAATTAATTTTACTTTATGTTTAACAAAATAAATCATACATGAACACACAAAAATTGGTACAGTAACATTGTCTATTTTCACTTCCTGTCTTTCCTGTCATTTCTAATACCAAAACAAGCGAGAACTGTGCGAAAGACGTTGGTGAAAAATCCTTTCTTTGTTTTCTTCTTGTCTGCCAATTCATTTCTAATATCATCTCGCACCAATTTCTCACTGATTTGCTCATCCCCAGTAGCTTGTGACTTTTGGCAAACATCTGTAGGCCTAATGTTCATGTTTAAGTTTCCACGTTGAGTACATTTCACCTGGTCACCTGACGTCTGCTGTTTCACGAGGTGGCAATGGATGTCGTCTGCTTCTCGGTTGTCCCTGTTTAACGTAAAAATTATAATGAAATGATTGTTATAATAATGCAACGCAAGTGCTTGAACAGCTTAAATTATCGTAAATTAAAACGTAGTATATTAATAAACTTTTAACGCATGTTTTTCTTTCTTTTCTTTTTTTTTTATAAAACATTCTTTGTATGAAAAAGGGCAACATTTATTTCACCTATTGAAAATAATTTGTTAATAAATAAATAAATAAAAAAAGAAAAATAAATAAATAAATAATATTTGCTTTAAAAAACTTGAAAGAAAAAAATCTGATACCTTTTTAAATTTGGCTTTCTCAGAGATAAAACATCTGACATTTTTGTATTCTTATGTACAGAAGTGGGTTCTTTGAGATTTTCTGCATCATTTCTGTTTATATGCTGCATGTAGTCATAAGGATCGTCTAGGTACATCTTCAACTCTGCAAAAAAGTTAGAGCGTGTTTAATGAGTTCCAAAAACAAAAAACTTTTTATATACACAGATCACTTGGGGCACTACAAACGAAAACATGAAAAAGGACCAGTCATACAAAAATCTCCCTTATGTCCTTTTACTTTGTTAAAGCTTAGACCAGATCAGATAAAATCATAAATGTTATCGAACTTTGCGCAACAAACAGGAGTTCATCCTTCACGCGTAAGATGTCGTTGTCACTTATTTAAAAAAACAACAATAAAAAAACAAAACATTTTTAATCTGAAAAGTTATAAATTATCAGACAATAAGTTTTCAATTACTTACCAAATGCAAAGTCATTTCTTCTTTCAGCTCTAGAACTAATATGTCCAGTGGTGCGTTTTTTAGGCTGTCCATCTTGACCATGTTTTTGTGGCATTGACTTCCTCTGACTTAGTGGTGGTAAAGCGCTCTTACTTCGCCTTTTCTTTTGTGAGGTCTTATCCTCAACTGCAAATATAAGGAAAATGAAGAATATAAATATCTAGTGACAGCCTGATGGTGCAATGCTTCATTCTGAACCCCCTCCTACCCCTCCGCTCCCTGTCCCCGATGAAACGAATTATGGTGGAAATCGCCGAAATGATACGATTGACAATATTTCGAATAATTACATGAAAAATTTGCAACATGCGTTAGTATACATACCAAAATTTCTCTGTTATATATAAGAAATGTTTAAAAGTTATAAAAATCATTTCAAAACTTACTTTTTCTTTGATTTGTCAATTTTCTTTGGGAATCGTGTCCTCTATGTGCGCCACATATAGACCTTGCCCTTTTTGAGGAACAAACATTGTCCATTCTTGAGTGAGCTTTGTAGTCGTTTCTTGATAATCTGTTCATAATTCACTGTAACAAAATGTTTATACTCAGTTATTTTGCTCACAACAAATTAATTTGTTCAACACATTCGATTCATTTGAAATATTATTTATAAATGAATATTTAAAACAGATTGTAGCCCTTCTTTGTCTAATGGAAAGGACTTTGAAGAGAGTGGGTGGGGTGGGGGCGCTGGGTCCGAGTGATAGCTTTTATCAAGAAGCAGCTAAAGTTGCTAAAATTTAATTCTGATTCTTTCCACCACCTATAATTAGCTTAATAACATTTTGAATCTCTTCATTGACCATGAAATTCTGTGAAATAAATGTATTTTAAATAAATAAAAAAATATGTTTACATACCGTGATGTGTTGATATCTAATGTTGCGGAACGTCGTTTCTATGACAAGTTACGTCAGAAAATCGAATTACGTCATGACGTAAGTGACGTAATAATGGGCATGACGTACATCTCACTTATCAACAATTCTTAATCAGATAAATGTACAAATGCAATGAACATGCATTTCAAACATCTTTGATATACATATATAATAGATTGCGCTAGCGAAAAGCATTGCGAAATATGACGCGAGTTTTATTTATTTGTGTACGTATAAAGGCCGCTGTGAGACAACCCGTCATTGATTATTAACGTCCAACTACATACAACTTGTATGTAATGGCGCCCTTGGATGGCCTTCGTTTACAGGTTTGGCTATAGTTTCAAGAACCAAAAGCGCACTTACGTATAGCCTGAAAAGACTATTAGAAAAATTATTAATTTCATGCAATTGAAATACATGTTGTACCTGCAGAATACAAAAATGGTAGAAAGTCAGAAATCAACCATAGTCCAACTTTCTGTTATCTACAATAATATTTGCTACATTTTATTTGTTTGAAATTCTTGGTTTTATTTGTCTATATCATAATTTATTTACAGATAAAAAAACACGCCCTGCTCTGCCAGACATTATCAATCAAAGTTTTGTGTTTATGTTGATTCACACATAAACAAGGAGGATCATTATTCACATACAGTGGTTAATAGTAAAATATAAATGATATATAGTGAGGATCGAACGATATCAGGGTAGCGTATGATAGCTGATTTCGTACACTTTGCGCGTTGCGTGGTCGATAGCGACAACACAACCTATATCGTCATCGCCTTTTCGTCTTGTAGCTAGCGAAACGCGCGTTATCGAACTGTCGTCTAGTCGCTAGCGAAGCACGCCAAACGTCACGTTGTCGTGCGGCGCCTTGTCGCGATGTCGCCCTGTCGTTTGACTTATAAGCCAATCCTTCGATTTGAGCCGAGCAACAATGTAACATCGCGACAATACGCCGCACGACAACGTGCGGTTTGGCGTACATCGTTAGCGACAGGACGAGAAGACGAAAGTCCGACAACGCGCCGTATGGCGCTTTATAGTGCTGTCACTAGTGACAAAACGACACACAACAGCATTCCAAATCAGCCAACATATATATACAAAAAGACTCTTATTTCCATAGTGGCGTTCTAGGGGCTCAATATGGTGGTTGATTTAGAACGCTTTTGTGTGTCGTGTTGACGCTAGCAAAAGCACGACAAAGCGCCAAAAGGCGCGTTGTCGGACTTTCGTCTTGTCGTCCTGTCGCTAACGTTTCACGCCAAACGGCGCGTTTCGTGCGGCGTGTTGTCGCGATGTCACATTGTCGCTCAGCTCAAATCGAAGGCTTGGCCACAGGATCAAGCGACAGGGCAACATTGCGACAACGCGCCGCACGACAACGCGCTGTTTGGAGTGCTTCGCTAGAGACGGGACGACAAGACAACAGTGCGACAACACGCCGTTTGGTGCGTTTCGCTAGCGACAAGACGAAAAGGCGATAACGATATAGGTTGTGTTGTAGCTATCGACAACGCAATGCGTAAAATGTACCAAATCAGCCACCATATTTTTGTGCTATCCTTGGTGCTGATGTGCATGGGCTTATTCATTCTCATGTATGTTTAATATTTGTACCATACATGTTGTTTTAAATAACTAGTTGTTGTTTTAAATATTCATGTCCATGTATATGTATTATATACCGAAATAAACCTATCTCACGCAGTGGAGGCGTTCAAAGGCAGGCCATTGCTTGGCACAAACAGCTCGATCTTTTTAGAGTTACCGATACTTTATTATTGTCATAGGTGACTGTACGTTCTTATACTCACTGGCCATTGTGCACAGTGAGCTTTCATTACGGCTCAAATTCATTTATTTTGTTAATACTTGTGGACATTGCACCGATGTACCTTCGCCCCTCACCACTTTGTAATTCAAAATTTAGTCTTTAAGCATATACTTGGTGACATGTCGTTAACTTTAAACCACTCGCCCCTCACCGCTATGGGTTCGAATCCCGACAGAGTTTATGGATTCCTTCTTGTGAGGAGGCTATCCAGCTAGTTTACAGAACGTCGGGGTTCTAATCTAGAATAAGGTCTTTCTCCAACAGTCAAGTTGGGAAGTCACCATATCACCAATACTGTGTTGGCACGACGCAAAACTCATCCAAAAAATATCATAGTACTTACCCTACTTTTTTACGTCATTGTACAGAAACATCCCGGCAAAGTTATGTTATTGCTTGGCTTTCAATTAATATATTCAGGGCAGTCTTAAAATCAAACAAATACTGGATTTTTTGGGGTATCAATAAAAAGGTAATTGTGTTAAAATAGAGAGAAATAAGAATCCCTAAAGAAAGCCCAACACGGCAAAATTGAAAATGTTGCAGGCTCGGTTTGATTGAGCCTTTTCATGGACGGTACTGGAAAGTGCAAGTTACCGTCCACGCCCGGCTTAAGCAGAATTCAACATTTAAAATAACCTGGTAAAATTAAGAATTTTGAAACATCCCCATATGTGTTCATATGGCGGTTATCATGGAACCTTCAATGTGACACGTTAGTGCCATCCCATGAAAAGCGGCATATGGTCCCCAAGTAAAAAAATGCATGTGCCCTAAACGAGGAATCAATGGGCAGAACTAAATAAAATGGAATTTTGAAAGGGGATCTGAGGTTATGAAGCCTGCATATCACAGATATGACGTCAAAAGACAAATAAAAAGCAGGCCACATATCCTAAGGGTGATTCAACAGTATTCAAGTAAGGAATACTGGAACCACCCAACAAGAAAGATGCCGAATAGAAAGAACTAAAATAACACAAGCACAACAATAATGTCGTGCTGAACGATCTTTTAGGATCGGAAATATAACATCCCTGATTGAATGTACGGGGCGACTTTTTACGGCCTCCACACGGCACAAACAACGCTGATGTGGCGGTAAAATAGAGAGAAATAAGAAGCCCTAAAGAAAGCCCAACACGGCAGAATTGAAAAATGTTGCAGGCTCGGTTTGATTGAGCCTGTTCATGGACGGTACTGGAAAGTGCAAGTTACCGTCCACGCCCCTAGCACCAGCTTAAGCAGAATTCAACATTTAAAATAACCTGGTAAAATTTAGAATTTTGAAACATCCGCATATGTGTTCATATGGCGGTTATCATGGAACCTTGAATGTGACACGTTAGTGCCATTCCATGAAAAGCGGCATATGGTCCCCAAGTAAAACAAGAGCCGGTTGAACCGGGTGATGCTCCCCGAATAGGTTTTGGACACAGGAAGGTATACCTCTTGTTGTGTCAGAGTTATGTCACAGACAAAGTTCAAAGTGTAAAAACAACCCAAATATTGTGCACGACACATTGTCTAAATATGGTGATCATTTTTGTGAAATAGTTGTAAAATCCGATTTCAAATAACAAAGTTATGCGCCTGACATTATTTTGCTGCAAGGTCATGCTGTGACCTTGACCTTCAACGTAGTGACCTAAATGTTGCATGCGACACGTCGATTCAATATGGTGATCATCTCTGTGAAATAGTTGTTAAATCCGACTTCCAGTAACAAAGTTATGGGCCGGACACGATTTTGCTGCAAGGTCATACCGAGCCTTTGACCTTCAATGTAGCGACTTAAATGCGATTGTGCATGACACGTCATCTTAATATGATGATCATTTCTGTGAAATACTTTTTAAATCTAACTTCAAATAGGGAAGTTATGGGCCGGACACGATTTTGCTGCAAGGTCATGCTGTGACCTTGACCTTCAAGGAAGCGACCCACATGTTGCACGCGACACATCGTCTCAATATGGTGATCATTTCTGTGGAATATTTTTTAAATCCGACTTCAAATAACAAAGTTATGGACCGGACACGATTTTGCTGCAAGGTCATGCTGTGACCTTGACCTTCAAGGTAGCGACCCAAATGTTGCGCGCGACACGTCGTCTCAATATGGTGATCATTTCTGTGAAATATTTTTAAAATCCAACTTCAAATAACAAAGTTATAGACCGGACACGATTTTGCTGCAAGGTCATGCTGTGACCTTGACCTTCAAGGTAGCGACCCAAATGTTGCGCGCGACACGTCGTCTCAATATGGTGATCATTTCTGTGAAATATTTTTAAAATCCAACTTCAAATAATGAAGTTATGGACCGGACACGATTTTGCTGCAAGGTCATGCTGTGACCTTGACCTTCAAGGTAGCGACCCAAATGTTGCGCGCGACACGTCGTCTCAATATGGTGATCATTTCTGTGAAATAATTTTAAAATCCGACTTCAAATAACAAAGTTATGGGCCGGACACGAATTCGGGACGTACGTACGGACTGACGGACGGACGGACAGACGGACGGACGGACGGACAACCCGACGACTATATGCTCCCCCGAAATTTTTCGGGGAGCATAAAAAATGCATGTGCCCTAAACGAGAAAACAATGTAATGGGCGGAACTAATTAAAATGGAATTTTGAAAGGGGATCTGAGGTTATGAAGCCTGCATATCACAGATATGACGTCAAAAGACAAATTTAAAAAACAGGCCACATATCCTAAGGGTGATTCAACAGTATTCAAGTAAGAAATACTGGAACCACCCAACAAGAAAGATGCCGAATAGAAAGAACTAAAATAACACAAGCACAACAATAATGTCGCACAACAATTAAGTATTTTTATACCAAATATACTATAACAATTAATAGAAAAAACTTTAAGAGGGTGGGAGATGGCATGGTATTTTTCTTTCAAAATAGTATTTTTTCGTATGAGAACTTTTATTACTTCGTGAAGAGAGCATAGCCGCCGCCATGTTCCTCCTTCCACATGTCCATCCTTCTGTCAAACTCTTGTCTAGAGAATTTTTACGGATTTTGTCTAGTAAAACACATTTTAAAAATAATTTGTTTGTTTCACAATCGAACATACAAAGCGAATGTATGTATACGGGAAACGGACAAAAACCCTCCCGGACAAAAGCCCTCCCATCCAAAAATGACAAGGCGGACAAAAGCCCTCCCATGAAAATGACAAGGCGGACAAAAGCCCTCCCAAGAAATTTGTTTATTTTACTTAATATTTTGTAACTTGTTTT